AGCAGGGAGCCCGATGCGGGACTCGATCCCGGGACTCCAGGATCATGACCTGAGCCAAAGGCAGTCGCTTAACCAACTGAGCCACCCAGGCGCCCAAACTTGGGAGAATTTTATGTAAACACCAAGATACTTTCATGTAGATTCATAATTAACATTATACCATTCTTACTTTATCGTGTTTCCAACCATATATCCATTTGTCTGTTCATCCACTTCACTAACCCATCTTCAAGTATGAAACATCTCAAAGTTGCAGACATCAGTACACTTCCCCCCAAATACTTCAACCTGCATATCATTAACTAGAATTCATTATTTGTTTTCAGTTCTTTTCCTTTTCTCTTGAGATAACCTATATAATAAAATGCACAAATACTAAGTGTATCATCTGATGACTTCTGATAAATGCATTCCCCTGTATAATCCAAATCCTTATCAAGATACAGAACATGACCATCCCCCTGCAAAGAACCTTTATGCCCTTTGGTATATCCTTACCTGTCACTCATAAGACAGAACCACTTTTCTGTGTTTTCTTGGCAAGTTAGTTTGGCTTGTTTTAAAAATTTAAATAAGTGAGGTTTTTGAGCATGTTCTTATTTGGTGTAAGGTTTCTTGAACTCAGCATAATATTTTTCAGATTTATTCACATTATTGAATATATCAGCATTTTGTTTGTTTTCAATTGCCAAGTATCACACACTATATGAATATACCAAATTTTGCGTATATATTCTCCTATTGGCACACACTGCAAGTGTTTCCTGTTTTTTGCTAATATGGAAAAGCTGCAGTGAACATTCTTGTAGAAGTCTTTCTGTGGCCTCATGCCTTCAGATCCCTTATATAAATACCTAGGATTGAAATGTCTGGGATATGGGATAGGTGCATTAGTTCTTTTCCCCAAAAATCCATGTTGGGGGTGAGGTGGCACACACAGGCTGTGCTCAAGCTGAGGAGTACCACACTTCAGAAACCTCGATCTTAGAAGGTTGCTGCTGGCAAACCTGCTCAAACCTTACCCCTGAGGGAGACATTATCTCATTAGCTGGAACTTAAGCAAATCTCCTCTGGGGAGAGGAGGGAGATGTTTTCTATTTTATATAGGTCAGTAAACAAATCGCTCTCTGACCTAGAGGGTTACATTATCTCTGGCTTCCAAGGGTGCTTGTTATTCAAACAACCTTGCAAAGATAATTTGAGGCAGGTGGAAATGCCAAGGAAAATTGCCTCCCAACAAATTCACCTCACGCAGCAGATTCTGGCAAATTTGTCCATGAAGACACCACTCCATCATCCATTTTGATTAATTTGACCAGTGTGGACTAGGACCAAATCCATTCAATTTGTTACATGCAGTATTTAAAAAATTTCATAAAACATAAATGATTTAGGTCTCTAATGACCACCCTAAGCTATAATTTACCATGTTTGCATAAGGAGGCAAGTGAATGCCTGGCTTTTACACAAGAAGTGTAATTCCAAGGGCACACATGGTGGCCCTGAAAGGGAAGCATTTACAATTGCTGAGGTCCCCTAATGGAACATACATCAAGCAGGGGAAGATGGATGGTGCCTCCAGCGTGGGCCCCTTAGAGCTCCCAGTTTCATTCATTGCACCTAGTCCTTGATTTGGGGGGGCACTTCCTGAGGAGAGTCCATCCCAATCTGCCCTCTTTGTCCATGACACCGACCAAGTGGCATTTGCCTCCCCTGCCCCCCCCCACCAGGGATTGAGAGTCGGGGTAGGGATGATGTCTAGAGGAATCCTGCATGGGATGTGCAGACACTGGGGCCTATCCCTGTTTTTTCATGTCTGATGCAGAATGGTAGACTCACCATGTCTGTGGTAAGAGATATGTACCCGGGTGGTTTCTCTCTGGAGGTAGGATTCAGGGCAGTTCTGCAAGGCAGATATTATTAATGCTTTCCCTTCACCGTACCAACAAGGCTTTATGGGTTCCCTCCTCAGATGTCTGGATTTTTGCTCTTCCTTTACTGGCGCAAAATCTGTGTGTACTGTTTCAGTGGCTGTAACTTCATCTCCTTTCCAAATGATCTCCTATTCCCACTCAGACATTTTATCCAGAGGGTCAGATGAAAGTGGGGCAAAGGCATTTTCATAAAATGTAATCAGATCAGAAATAAATCTGAATCCCCTAGGCTCTCTGAAGGCTCTGCCCTCCAGACTGGTAGGGGAAGCAATGAGGCATCATCTCCAAGAGCAGCAGAACAGAGTCCTGAATTTCCAGAACTTGTCTGTCTAACACAATTAATCCCCCACCACTTTTATCCTGATCATGATGCAAGAAGGAGCTGATCCCTTTCTGGGGACAGCTGCCTTCAGTGGCGAAGGAGCCTTCCCGAGTTGGGTGGACAGGAGGAGATGAGGGACATAGAGTCAGACAATCAGTGCAGTGGACGTAGTTTTTTTGATGAAGGGCACGCCATTGTCAGACTATTAGTGGTTCAGTCATGCTCCTGACACATATGAGTTTCTAGGGCCACAGTGGTGTGGCCAGAGTCAGCTGGTCTGTTAGCTGAAGTGTGGATGGTGTTGAGGCACCACCCATAGCCCCCAGAGGGGCTCAAGGCCTGATCAGTGTCCTGGGAGCAGTCAGGGACAAAGTCCCTTGTGATGTGGCTCTCCCCACTGAGAGACAAACAGGTCTGTTTCTGGGAGGAGTCACGAGCCGGGTACATAGCCATAGCCCCTACATAGGGCTGGGAAGGGTCATGGAAAGCCGAGGTGTCAATGGGGCAAAATCCCAGAATTCTTGAACATAACCATTTTAGTCTGATGAGCAAGGCTTTTTATTTGTAGGCCCTTCCTGCCTTGTAAGTTCTGGAGTCTGAGTTGACCCACCTCCGAAGGGGATGGGAATCTCAAGTGGGAGTCATAAGGCCTCCCTCCATGGTTTGGGTGTTCACTCTTGGCAGTAAAAATCTAGTAGCTGGCTATTTTTATTTCACAACAGTGACAAGATAAGATCTCTATTTACCCAGTGCCTGTGGTCTTCTCACATTCCTATGTGTTCAAATCATGCACAACATATAACCTGCTGTGGTTTCAGTTAGGGTGGGGGGACAGTCCTGGACAGTCCAGGAACCCTGGGCACTAGATGGCACAGAAGTGGGAGGATTTGTGTCACAACTACAAGTACAGAGATTGTTTTAAGTCTCCTCATCAAAGCTGAGAGCGCCTCCTGACGTCCAGCATGGCATATTATCCACGATGCTATCCTGCAATGAGGAGTGTGCCTCCTCATGGCACATTTGAACGTACTGGAAGACACTTGAAGAGGAAACATATTGACATATGCCCCCAACAATGGTCATTCAGGTTAAGACACCAAAATAAAACTCCTGTTCATTTTCCAATTTTAGTGGTTTTTTGTTTTTTTGTTTTTTTATTTTCAAAGCAAAGTCGTCTCCTGTAGTCTCCCAAGTCTGTGTGGAGTAAAGCACAACTCTGCAATCAGCCACACACTGTGTGCAGTGGTATTTAAGAATTTTGTCCTGTTCTTGTGGCCTGAAAAAGTATTTGAAATCACTCGTATATACGGCTTTGAGAATTATGTTTATAGCTCTGAATGATTAAGTTTATTATCTTTTGTTTGAAGGAAAAAAGAAAGGCCATGCCTGGACAAGAATTAAAAGGAGATATCAGGGAAACATACACCAAAAAGGTAAGCACTTGAGTGTAAGGACCTGCTTACTGTCCCCCTGAAGCCCTGAGGGCTCCTGAGGGACCTGACCCCTTCCTAGCGGCTGCACCACGAGGGCGTAAACTAAGACGCTGTAACAAAGAGGCCTGAAAACACAGTGGCTTGCGCAAAATGGCTTAGTTCTCAACACAGAATCACCCAGAGCTAAATGATCCGGGGGAGACACTGCCATCCTCGATATACGGCTTTCTGCTGGGTCAAGAAATTTGTATTAATTTGGTAAGATGTTCCAGAGAAAGCCAAATGCAAAAAGCAGCCTGTATGTGTAGGTGGGTGTGTACGTGTACACATGGTAAAAAACGAAAAACATATATTTGTACAAATGTATTTTTAGATATTTATAAATTCTTATTTGTATGTATTTATCTATCTATATATAGACACAGATATACATATATGGAAAAATCAATAGGTGTTCATCAATAAAAATACATGCAGTGATTTATATATGGTCATTGGAATATAGGTGATATTTATATTGTTATTTGTGTTTTTTAAGAGTATGTTTGTACATGAAAAATTATATTAAACATGTTCAAATTTTGCAATGAAAAGGTATTGTTTAAATAGTAAAATATACAGAGACAAGAGCCTAGGGGAGTATTTTTGAACAAGTTAATTATGGCTCTCTCTAGAATGGTGATATTTCATATAATTTTTATTTTCTAAATTTCCAGTAATATATATGTATTACTTCTAGTTGGACCTCTGAAATCTTGTTTATTTCAGTAATGGTTTACTTCTTTTTTTTTTTTTAAGTAGCCTCCAGCCCCAGCATGGGCTTGAACTCATGACCCTGAGATTAAGACTTAAGCTGAGATCAAGAGTCGGATGTTCAATGAACTGAGCCACCCAGGCGTTCCTCAGTAGTGGTTTAAAAAACTCCTTCCTTCTAGACAATGAGAGCTAGACCTAATTTTCCATGTGATTGCCAATTTTGAAACAGATCCATATAAGATTTTAGAGTCCAATTAAAATTATTAATTTTCACCAATCTATATATCTTATGTTCTTGTGAATTTACATGGCTGCCCTGTTGGTGAATGTGTACAGTTTTGTTTGGAGAGAAAAAAAAGTGGTAGCATCCATTTTAAGAATGCTTATTTTCAAAATACCAAATATTTGGATTTAATCATTATATCATTTTCATTTAGGTCTCTGTGTATGTAGATAAACTCTAAACCACTTTGTGCTTTCCAAAGTACAATGAAATCTTGTACATAATTTAAAATCTTCCCTTCTAAAAGTAGAGCATGCTCTAGACACCTGTTTGAGATCCCTTACCATTAACGTGCTTTCTTGGCTGAGTGAGTAGGGAAAGGGGCTTCAGAATTGAATCTGGTGTTCACTCACTTGCTTTTGGTCTCTCATCTGAACTGCTGTTTTGTCCAACTCTGTATCTTCCCCTGCTTATCCCCAGACAGAAGCAATATCGCTGGTCAGTCGGTCTCCAGGGGGAGAAAGGGGAAAATGCGTCTGCAAGAACGTGCCAAGATCAGGGGTAAGATAAAGTTTGTGCCACTTTTACTTGGCCCCGTGGGTCAATACAAATTTTGCTAAGGTTTTGAGGAATATAGATCTTCCTCAGTTTTTTACTAGCCAAAGTTACCAGTCAATTTGAGAACTGTGAAATCTAGAAAGCAAACCCATTTGGAGTCAGGGTTATAAATTGTTTGCATTTATATCATAGTTTTTATCTGCCCAGGACCTAAAATCCTTTTCCTGAGTTTCATCTGCTTTTTTGTGGAAATTTCTTTACCTTGCATCATTGGTTTATTAAAATGGCCAGACTTGGGAAATTACAAGTAGAAAACAAGTTCATTTTTTCACTGCCCTTTCAAATCTACCTTCTGGATGAGTTTTTCCTGTCTTGGGCAAGCCTGATGGTTTTCCTCTTCCCTTGTCCCAAGAGTATAAGTCTCTCTCCAGTAGTGAGAGTCCTTTCTGGACTAGTATGAAAACTTCAATATTTTCTCCATTTCAAAGCACCTCCCCTCCTTCAACCTAAGCAAGCCTCTGTCTGGGCCACCCTCAGTGGGGATGTGGCATGGTTAGATTCTTCTCACATTCTCTCTTGGTTCCACCCACACTCAAGAGCTGCCGGTTTGGGCCCCTCCAGGATTTGGGGGGGGCGTGGATGAGAGAGGAGAGAGAAGAATATGGAAGTGTGTCCCTTGACAGATGTAGTTCTGAGACAACATTGGGAATGCAGGGTACACAATCGCTAGCTCTTTCCTCCATGAGATTCTTTCATCAACTCCATAGTATGGCCTGCCACCACTGCTTGACTTCTTTGCAGAGAAATGTAGCCCTTCTTCTACTGCGTGGATGTGAGCGAAGAGCTAGAGCTGGCAAAACTTGTTCCACCGATGCTTCGTAGGGTCACACAGGTGTTTTGGCATCGTTGCCTTATGATGTGGATTGCTTGACAAGACCTTCCCAGTTTTGCCACTGAAACTCCTGCATCTGGGATACCCCTTAGTCCTGGGTGGCCTGGGACAGTTGGTTACCCTCCTTGGCATTCAGTAAATTGTTCCCAACTATTGAGACTTTTACTAAAATTTTGGGAAAACATGAAAGAATTTAAAATTCTGTCACACTTACTGTTAGAGATTAATACCAAGCCCGACAGTTTTTTAAAAATAAACTTGAATTATATTCTGACTGCCATGTTAGAGTTCATGGTGGGGGATTCAGTGTTACTAAATGGGTATTACAACCTGGGGACACAAAAATTAGTTAGATCCTGTCTTGCTTAGTCACTCTGTTTTCAAAGTAAAATACAATAGTGCTGTATTATGAATTAGCTGGTTTTAAGCTCCAGGTCTCCTTATACCAAAAATGCCACAGGCTAGAATGGACTTCAAAGTATTTCCTTTTTCTCCCTAAAAGTATTAGGCCTAACAGGTTTGACATAGCCACAGTCCCAGGAAGGATATAACCAGAGAGAGGGACAGATAGAGACCAAAAAAGAACTCTCTATTTATTGGATTGTTCAAGGCTGTGATTAGAACTTTAGTGCCAAGCCTGACTGGGATACAGTAAGGCAAGAGTAAGATATCTGGATCTCTTCTCACGGGGCTGTGAGCATAGACCTTCAGAAGAGGAATTAGAGAGAGCACCAGAGAGAGTCCCTAACCACTTTGGCATCTTGGGTGGAGAAGAGGTGAGGAGGGCCCCTTAGAGGACCGTACCTGGGTGGATGACCTTCTATTGCCTGGTGACCCCACTTTCTGGAGGGAGAAAACAAGAAGGGGCAAAAAGATTAATCTGCCTTTTTGAGAACCATATTTCCACCTTTTTAGTAGTTCTCCTTAGCCCATTGCTGGTAATACCCAAGTCTTGTCCTTTCTTATAGAAATTTATCAATCTTTGTAGACCCCCTCATTTGAGCTGCTTTTATCTTGGTTAAATTATAACAGAGTGATGACTTGCAAGTCTGTAATTTGTTTGATGCTGTGATAAAGTCTAATTATCAGTATTTGTCCATGGGGCCATTTTGGTCTTGAAGAGATGAAAACTCTCTCAGTAACTGTGTAAGATAAAGTCCAGAAAGTGGGACTATTTACCAAGCAATCGGTCCATTTTGGGTTTAATTGAAAGAAAGATTCTTTTTGCTTTGCTGGTCTAATATGCTCATAAATCTGCTTACAGTTTACAGCACTTAGGACTGGGTAGTCTGGAAAACATTTCCGTACGGGGTCTACATAGCCCCACTCAGTACCACCAGATAGTGGGGCATTGAACACAAAAAGAAGAAAATGAATTTATCTTCCTGCCTTAGAAACTAAATCATATTTGAATGACAGCAAACACTGAGATGCATATCCATAGCCAAAACTTGCAAAAGGAAGAACGTTCTCTGCTACAACATCTACCAAGTCAATCCTTAATAACTATTTGAAATTAAGATTTTGGAAGATTCAATTCTACCCAGTCTTCTTGGTTAGCCTTCTTCTGGTTAGTTTCTTAGATTCTAATGTCTTTCTCCAAATCCAGGTAGACAAAGCCCTTGGTCACGTTTATTATCACTTTCAGCACAAATGTATAAATGACTTCATTCAAGGTGTGTGGAATGTGTCTCCCCTGTGAAACCCGCCCTAGGGTTTCCCCTCACAGAACATCCATTTATTTCTGTTTCTCCACAAGAAAAAACCTGAAATGCCTTCACTTAACTTTGTAGTTTTTGTTTCAATTTTCTCTGAATATTTTAGTTTCTGTAATGGCAGTAATCATCATCTTGATCTCCTATGTTTGTTGGAAAGATTAAGTAATTAGTAGATGTACAATAGGCATCTATTAAGCACTTAACACATGGCTACTTGAGATATATGTGGAATGCTGATTTCATTTGTTTGTTTATTTTACTAATGTAGGATATGAAAAATAAAATATAAGATAAACCTAAGATAAGCTATCTAATTCTTGGTATTTTAAGACTAGGGATTATATATTTTTCTTCATCCATTAGACAGGCTTTTGGGAAGTTATATTTCAATGGAAATTTTGGAAAGCACTAATATATGCAATGCAACTGCATGTCTGTGATTGTGATTATATTTTTCTATTTTCTCAGGGAAAAAGAGAGGCAGATCTCTTACTAACTTAACTCACAGTGATAGAGCCCCACGGAAAAGATTCCGGTCAAGAGGTAAAGAAGAAAAGGGGAATAACTTTCAATAACTAAACAGCTTATTTCCTGTGCTTTCCTGTTTTCTGTGATTTTAGTAATAAACCCATTTCCCTAGTTGCTTGATAGCCTAACTAACGGTTGAGAGATGTATACAATTTGGGTCATTTTCAAAATACATCAGAGAGAGAAACAAGATAATCCCACAAACAAGTAACTTGGTGACCAGACCTTGTGGGTCCAAGGGCCACTGTAGTGATGCTGTTTTCATTGAACTGATAAATTTTGAGCTGGAAATTGTCTGTTGCCATATAACCCACATTATTTAGTTGATCCTCCTTTTGCTACATTGAGTCACAGGTTGCACACCACAGGTAGCCTGGAGTGGTGGTCAGTAGTCTTTGTCTTTCTCTACTTTTGATTGTGTGGGCTTGGAACTGTCACTTGATCACAAAGCGAGAGAGCAAATTAAGCCAATCATTTTCAGCCCATCGTAGTTCTGATAGTCTACCCAGCTCAACATTGGACCATGGACACTCCCTCCTCCTATCATGGCTCTAAACGTCAGCTGGAAGGGCAGTATCAGCTACACATCCTCCTTGAGTTAGTTCATTTGAAGACCTTTCATCCCTATTTCTGTGGAGTCCGGTCTCCAGCCGCCTCTCCTCATGCAGTGTGAAGATTATTCTAGAGTCCTGTGAGCTCCTCTTTTAGATATGGAGAAAGCTGATGTGAGGGGGAAATGAAGCAAAGCCAAGAACAAGAATAGAAGGCAGACATCATCTCCATTAGTTTACCCTGTCATTCATTCCCCTCTCTCTGCTCAGTCAGTTAGATCTCAATTAGGGAGACATAAGTACAGTCTCCAGCTACCTAACTGCAGTGAAATAGTGTGGTTGGAGACCTCCCTTCAAAACGTGGCAGCTGTTGTGTGTTTCATTGTCATATAAGAACCAGCGAGGCTGACTAGATTGGGAGTAAGGCAGTTTTATTGAAGCCTGATTTCTTTGTAAAAGCATTCTGGTTTGTGTGGGATTTGAAGGGTAAGATAGAGGTAGCCATTCTGTAGTTATGTATCAAAAATGTCACATGGAAGAAAGCCTTTGACGCTAGAGATTTGGAGAATGGACTTCCCTAAGCACCTCTATATTTTATAAAAACAAAATCCAGAACGTTGGAGAGGTGCATGTGCATTTGCAAAATGAGGCGGAATGAGGAAATCTTCTCTTTCAGGGTCAAGAAAGCACAGAGATGATAGTGTGAATTTTCACTCTCAAATACTTCCTGTGACCTGTGGTAAGGAGAAGGGGATGTTATATAAGAAGAGACTGAAACGAGGTGGGTTCCATAGTCTACCTGATTTGCAGTATGGAATTACCCATGTGAATTACACAACATTCAAAGAATTGAGGGAGGGAGGAAGGGCTCCCTAAAATGATACTTTTACACTCTCAGAAATTATACCGATTAGGTGATCACTCCCACAATGCCCAAGGAAACAAAGAGAAGGGAATCAGAAATAAAAGGGAAGAGGCCCTCAGCCTCCACCTTCATATCCTGCCTCCCTTCTGGATGATTACCACCAGGGCAGGGTGCTGGATGTGGTGAGAAGACCACAAAATTTAGAATTGGAGAGCCTGAACCCCAGCCGCAGCTCTGCCAAGAGGGACTGATTCATCTGATTAGACAGTGGGACCTTTCTGAGCTTAAAGTTTCTCATCCAAAATGGGGATAGTAATTAAAAACCTGCCTCACAGAAGAGCTGTGAGGAATTAATTTACATAAGCGATGGAAAATACTTCAACAGCTTAACTGAGATATAATCACGTATCATAAAGTTCAACCCTCAGTGTTCAATTCGATTTTGAATTTTGTTTGCATTTTCCCAGGATTGTTCAGCCATCACCACAATCTAATCTTAGAACATTTGTGTCTATCCACCACTAAAGCAAATGCCATGCCTATTTGCAGTCGGTACGCATTCCCAGTTCATCCCAGCGCCCAGCCCTAAGGAACTACTAATCTATTTTCTGCTTCATAAATTGGCCTATTCTAGGTATTTCCTATAAATGAAATTATATAATATGTGTCTTTTTATGACTGGGCTCTTTCACTTAGCATGATGTTTTCAAGGTTCATCCGTGTAATAGCATGTATTGGTACTGCATTTTTTTTTTTTTTTTGCCAAATAATATATTTCATGGTGTGAATACACCATATATATCATTCATCCACCAGTTTGGGCTGTTTCTACTCTTTGGCTATTATGAATAATGCTGTTTTGAATAATCATGTATGAGTTTTTGTGTGAACAAATGTTTTCAATTCTTTTGGTTATATACCCAGGAGTGGAACTGCTGGTTCATATGGTAAATCTATATTTAACTTACTGAGAAAGCACCAAAATGTTTTCCACAGTGGCTGCACTATTTCATATTCCCACCAGCAACATCTGAGGGCCCCAATTTTTCTACGTCCTTGTCAATACTTGTTGTTGTCTGATTTTTTAATTATGACCATCCTAGTGGATATGAAGTGGTATCTCATTATATTTTTGATTTGCATTTCTCCAATGACTGAGAAATGCTGTTTAGCATATGATTATCTTTTATGCATAGCTTAATTTTCCACTGGGTAACATTTCACAATTATTTTTAATGTCAGCTATCTATGATTTCAGGGATGGGAAAAGCTCTGCTTAATAATGCCCTTACACTGGATAAAAAATGTAATAAAGGCTACGGATGTTGGGTGATAACATTCTAAGCTCAGTCTCAACCTGAGGTTCTACCTTCACATTGCCCCAAGAGCCTTTGGAGACTCTGGCCTGTTCTCTGTCCCCAGCAAATTGAGATCCTCTCACTCTTCAGGTTCACTTGATTTTCCTTTGTAGATGATTTTGAAATACTTTTAAAAGGTTGATTCTGATGGTAATTATCACTCTTCTGTTGCACAAAGTTTTAAAGAAATGTTGCTCCAAGGCAGGAAATTCTCCTTTGAGGGGACTTACAGGTTAGATTTGGGGATTCCAAAGGCTGAAAATGGAGGCTAGACTCTCCTGCTATAAATCTTGAGCCCAAATTGGGTGGCTCCAGATGCATTGTGGTGGAGCCCGTCATCTGAGTTCTGAAGACAAAGAGGGCTCAGGCTGAACTTACCCTGGTCTTACAGGAGCCTTGGTGAGGTGTATACAGAATGAGGATGGAAAATGGTTCACCCCCAGGGAATTTGAAGTCACAGGAGGCCACGCAAGATCAAAGAACTGGAAGCTGAGTGTGCGCTGTGGTGGGAGGCCCCTACGATGGCTGATAGAGGTATTCCAAGAACTGGAGCAGATGTGACTTTCCTTATTGTACAGTCATTATTTGCTCACCAAATTTTTGTTGAGTTATAGTGAAAAACCTGATGCCCCTGAGTTTATCTGCTGACCCAGGAAGAGACGCCCCACATTCATAACCTTCCTAAGATGTTGCACATTAATGTTGTAAAAGGGGCTCTGTCTGGATGAAGGCCAGAGCTTGGAGGAGGGAAAGGTCATTGTGACACAGGTGCATGCAGACAACTTCATGCACTGAAAGAAGACAGTCTACAGTCAAACAAATGGAAAGAGGATACTCCAGAGAAAGAACTGCATAAAAACCAGAACCGCAACTAAAGTAGCTCTGTGGGTTGGAGTAGACTGGTTGTGTGTGATAAGAGGCGATCCATCGATTGGGGTTGTTTGTGGAGGGATTTAATATCAGCCTAAGGAGTTTAAACTCATAGACAATGAAAAATCAGTGAAGTCTTCTGAGGTGTGCAGTGACACATTTAAAACAATATTTTAGACAACCGTGGGGGCTTGAAATGATTTTAGTGTCTTTCAGCCCAAAGATACCTATACTCAACTTGCAATGCTCATGTCAAGTGTCTCCCTTCTCTGAATATTCCCTGAATGACCTGGCCTGGTCCTCCCTTCCCTGGGCTCCATGAGTCCACTACTAAGACCCTTTTTATACTGTTTTATACTTATCCTTCCATGCATTCTCTTTTTCTTTCTAAATACCTCTAGGGTTTGTCCATCTTTGTGTGCCCAAGATTGTCCTGAATGTCTGATACTCAGTACACATGGGATAAGTGTGTGTTGATGGTGTATGGTGTATGGACTCAGCATGAGTGGTTATTGGTGGAAATGAAAAGGAAGTGGGAGGTGTGAACAAGGAAAGGGAGGTGTCAAAGAGATTATGAAGGAAAACCTCTTAAAATTTAGGAAAAAAGACAAGAGAAAAGAAAAAAGTTCTAAAGATGATTTTCCAATGCTTGAAATTCTACCACTGATTGAATTCCAGAAGTACGGGTGAGGAGAGAGAGATGTTTTCTCATTTAGCCACCCTGGCTTTGATCTGACAGTGGGACACCCAGGTAGAAATATATGGGAGGAGGATGGAAATGCCAGACTTACAAAATAGAAACATAGGCTAGCCACAAACTTGGATCTTTTTATCTTTCAGAAAGGACTTCTACATAATCCTCCAAGAAAATATTTCAGGAAAAGAAAGGTGATTATTATGTCACTTTTTACAAGTTCTCAACACATAACTGATGTCATATGTACAATAATTTATAGTTCTCAATTGGGTAATTATAATTAAACTTCCTCCAACCCTCCCCTCCCCTTTTTTTGGGCATGTGACTTCAGAGTTGCTACTTTGAACAATATGCTGTATAAAAGGCAAGATCTTCTTTGAATGGTAAATCATTTGCAGTGGAGATGATAAGGAGCCATCAAAACAGACCTCATATATATGCTTTAAGTGTAGATGCAGCTGTTGTAAGGGTGTCAAAGTTGTAAAAGCAAGCATGATTATGCAATACAAAAAAATTTTCATAATAAGACAGGGTCAGGCACCTGGGTGTCTCAGTCAGTTAAGCATCTGAGTCTTGATTTTGGTTCAGGTCATGATCTCAGGGTCCTGGGACCGAGCCCCGCATTGGGCTCCCCACTCAGCAGGTAGTCTGCTTGTCTCTCTCTGCCTCTCTCCCTGTTCACGCGCTCTCTGTCTCTTAAATGAATAAATAAATCTTAGAAAAAAATAAGGTGATATAGGGTCATCTCCAACTCAAATCCAGATTTTTAAAATCATCCTTACTATTGTCTAACTTTAATGAAATCTAGGAAAAAAAAGGCATATTTTCTTTTCTGATCCATTTCATCCCCTTTCACCTTCCATTTAAATGTACACACAGACATTTTTTTTTTTTTCAGGGGAAATTAGTTGCCCTTCTTGAGGATGGTACTGTTGGGAAGGAAGTTCTTGGGAGATTGATGTATCATATGGGAGAGGCAGATCTGGAAAATTGTTTACTTTGATGCTACCCTTTTGGGTACATCAGAGGGGCTATACAGACCTCTTTTCTATCTGAGAAAATGATGTCTTCCTCTATGGAAGAAGTCTATGTAGACAACAAACAAACAGGTTAAGTGCAGTGTAGATTTAAGACAAGGTGATGGATTTTCCAAGATTGAGTATGAATAAGAACTTGAGAAAGAGGGGGAGGAGAGAAGTGTCATTCTTACATACTTCAAGTAAGAATGGCCATCCAAGACATTCACAGACTTCTAAGATAGGCCATGCCTAGCTGGTCAATGAGACTTCATCTTCCACTGGGAATGTGATTATCTGATGCTCTGGGTCATTTGAACTTTCAGTCCTTGGGACATTTCATCCACTGGATTTCCTAAAGGGAAACTATTATTTGATCTATTTAGTATTTTAAAGACCAGCATCTGTATCATTTCCCAGATGTCAAGAGTTACTCAGTTTGGGGTACCTGGCTGGCTCAGTCAGTAGAGCATGTTACTCTTGATCTCAGGATCCTGAGTTCAAACCCCACGTTGGTCATACAGCTTACTTAAAAAATAAAAATAAATTTAAAAAAATAAGATAAAATAGTTACTCAGTTAGATTACCCCTGTGAGCTGGCAACTTCTTATCAACAGGACCTACCTTTATCCATGGATACAACACTTTTCAGCAACAAATCTCAGCTGCCTCTATATTGGTGTCTCCCCATGAGCTCCTCAAATTGGCAGATCTTGCAGTCCATTATTACCCCTATGGGTCCTCTGTGCCTCTCAGAACCTCTTTTGCTGATGGAGCCCCTTGGCTTTTGGAAACTTCAGGATCACTCTTGATGCCACATGATAGCTTATTGGCTCCTGACAAGGGCCACTAATATCTTTTGGTGACAGTTGCTGTGTTGTAAAATAATATATATTCCTCCAGTATATTGTATGCTAATATTTCTTAAGAAATAGCAAGTAATCTCTTTTCCTAAGCTAAGCAATATTCATTTATTTACTCATTCAACATATAATTATCAAGCCCATACTAAATGTCCAATGGCCATTAAAGTTGATTGAAACAATGTTTCTGACCTCAAAGATTGTTTCAACCTCAAATTCCAACCTGGGGAGGGGTGGGGGATTTTAGGTCACCCAGAGAGATGGGCAATGACATGGCCACTTCTCAGGTCATTGTCCCGTCGGTCACACTTGTCTGTGACTACTTTGCCCTGGGCTGGAGATAAAAGCTGCATTACAGAGGGAAGGAGGCCAGGTCATTCTACTGAATATGCAAAAGCATTGTAAGTTCAGTGAGTGATAATCAATTACCTCTGAAAAGTCACCCCGCTGACATCTTTTTGGGAGGAGAGAGGAAGGTAACCTTTTGGAAGAAAAGCTGCAGCACTGGGGACCTTGGGCACATTTTATCTTTGAGGCTGTGCTCTAAGAGGACTGCAGAAGTTAGTGCAGTTCTCTCTGGGATGTTTCCATGATTCCAGGACTCTGGGTCCTGTGGTCACTGGGGGCTGTTGATGATGAATTCTCTGCCTGATTCTCTCATTGCAACTCCTCCTGGTGGGATGATACTTTCTAATGTAGAGAAAAATGCCTGAGGGCCAAAGTAGGAGAACCAGTGGAGTTTCTCCAACTCCATCTGTGGAAACCAGGGCCCGACTCCCTGCATGGCTTCATAAAGGCCTACCTTGGGTCAGAAATCCAGGAAATTGAACTTTAATTGGGCCAAACAGTGGTATTTTGGTACTTTTTATTCTCCAAGTAGATATATAGGTCCATAAAACAGATATGAAATAATGGGTAGACTGTGGCTTGAATTCCTCCACAGATAGCTCTTAAATAAGGGATGGATGCAATCCTTGTATTCAATATTGTCATTCAATCTTTCTCTCTTTTCAACAGAGAATACCAAAGTCTCACGACAATACCTTAATTGACCCTTATGTAAGTACTATACCTCTAACCCCAGAATTATCCAGGCCTTGTCCCTCTGTGCACTGTGTCATTGCTGTGTTTTCCTGAAATCTGCTCACACTCAGTCGGAATGTGTCGCTGTATGCGATGAGTAGAGAACAGCAGATGCATCACCCACACCAGGGAGGTGGTTCTGGAGCTGGTGTCTCTGTCTGAAAACATCTTTTCCTATTTGTTCAGGGAAACCTTGTTGTTTCCTCATTTCCCCTTGAAAGTGAGTATGGGAGTCAGAATTCTAGACCACTGGGATCTCTAGAGCCAGGGTCTGAAGTGGTAATAGCCAGAGCTGGCCTGCGGATTAGGGTTAAGGAGCAAATCTGGGAGAATAACCTTTTAAAGAAGGCAATAGGGGAGGAAAGGAAAATCCCAAACATCCACTCCAAAGTGCAGGCAGAGCTAAGATCCGCCAGAAGGAACAGGCTCAGCCAAGCTGGTGAGGAGTCCAGGGGGTAGACCCTATTGTGAGTCCTGCAGAGAAGTGCGTGTAGGGCAAATGGGCCCTTTTTGGAGGCCATGTATCCAGTCTCGAGGGAGCCATCAGGGTGCTAAGCTGGTGAGGGCTGAAACCATCACCACGTAGCCAATCACAGGGTGGTCCCGCAAGGCTGCCAGCTATAAGGTCTGTCAAAATTATGGGTGACCGCACTCTCTATGCTAAATCATACTTTAATTCCTTTCTTTGCATCAAAATAGACATTTGAAGCAGAGTCACTTTTGCACAACTCCACGGGGCAGCACTCACAGATGATATCAAGCACTAATACTGACACAGGACATCCAACAGAGAAAGGGTAGTCAGATAGTTTTATGTACACTTTACCTTCAAAGCAATGCCCCAACAAGATTTAGATCTTATCCACACTGATTTTGACCCTTGACCAACTGAGGGAGTCTTCAGTCATCTAAACAGCCCTCGAGTCCAGTGTTGTGTGGCTTGTTTGGGATGGACGTAGACCCTCACCCCTCTTCATAATCTTTCCGGGGTAGATATTATGGGCCAATACAACATTGACTTATAATATCCCCATGCCTAATAACCAGGCTAAATCTCAACTTGGGTCGACTCAACACTGAGTCACCTGAGGACCTTTGAAAAATAACATTGCCTGGATTCCACTCTAGGAAATTCTGATTTAATCAGTCTAAGCTATGTTTTGGACATTAGGATTGTTTAAAAGTCCCAAATGATTCTAATACACAAAATTACCCATTTTATGAATTAAAAAAATATCAGTGGCTGTGCCCACCCAGACCAGTTGATTCAGTATCTCTGGTGTTGGGACCAGGACATTAGTATTTTACATACTCTGCCTGGATGATTTTAGTGTGCAACTGGACTAAGAAACAAACGTATGTATCTGTTAAAAAGTATACATATGGGAGATTCTTAAACATGGGTTGTATTTGTTATTTCCTTGTTCTTCTGGGGAGAGGGGTCATCACTTCCTGGAGACTGATGATAGTAATCTATGAGTCTCGGCACGGATGAGAAGAAAAGTGGCCCCATGTCTCCATGCCAGAGCAGTTTCAGCCCCAGTTGGAGGTGTCCTTGAGGATCCCCTGGAACACTGAATGGGAGTATTTGGCTAGACGTTCGTTGGGGCTAGCACCTCCTCATACACAGTCATTCTTAAAAACAAAAGAAATAGCCAGAACCCAATTCACCCAACACAAGTATTTTCACCTAAAAGCCCAAAACAAGACTCAAAATAATTGTTAATGAGTGTCTTTTCATCTTTTATCACTTTCCACATCAAGGGGTTTATCCCATCTTATTAAATTCTCAAAATTCCGCCTTTCCGTGAGTCTATGTCTCCCTTGTGGTATATAGGCAAATGCATTTAACACTTTCTTTCAGGATCTTGTTTTATCTGCAAGGTAATAATATTATTCAGATTCCTATAAAATCACCTTCTTGTTTTGCTGCTAGTCTTTCTGTGTTAGAATCTCTGGTTTTATAGGGAGGACTTTTCTGGTATGACACACAGGCCCCTCCTCCTGAGCAACATTGCAGATGGTAATTTCCCCTGAAGTCTCCATTCCGTGCTGCTCCTTCTTACCTCGGGGAGAAGCATGGATGTGTCCAGGCAGGTTCACACAAAGGCAGCGAATTCTAGATTCCTGTAGCGGTGGCCTGCTGGGGTCTCACCAGGGATGCGGACATTGTTTTGCCTTCTAGCTGGGAAACTCCGACGTGTGTGAGACGTGCCGGGATGGAGGACAGCTGTTCTGCTGTGATACCTGTTCGAGATCTTTTCATGAGGATTGTCACATCCCACCTGTGGAAACTGAGAGGTTTGTGAGATGAAGTCCTCTCACCCCAATTAGGAAGACTTCCTCCTGCAATAGGAGGAACCTATGTGTCCAGGTAGAGAAAGAGCAGGGTTGGACATACGGGGTCCCACAGTATGATCCACAGAGCTGTTTAAAGACACTGGCAGCCTGATGGAATACTGTTCTTTGCTGAGGCTGGGATGCTGAGGCTGGTGACTGGGTCCCTTGCCTTCATACTGCTACTGTCATTTCAAGAAGTTTGCCAGCCTGGGCCCCTGTTCACAGAGGTGGGAACACCAGCTGTTTGTGTTCTGCGCTTTGTCAGAAAAGGCAGGAAATATGACCTGGTTCATGCATTTTACCACAGGCTCAACGGGCTGATAGAGGCCTGGGTCCCCAGGGGTTAAGGCCCAGTTTTGACACTTGGGTGTGACAGCAGGGTGCCTTGTGCTCCCAGCAGCTCAGCCGGGGAAAGGAGAGCCCACCACTCACCCTGACACCGCCCTGCACACACTGAACCCCCTGTTGCCACCCTCCATGGGAGGAGGGTCGGGGGCTCAGGCCCCACGTGGGATCTTGGAGACTCTGGGAGGTGTCCCCTTCATCTCCCAGCTGTGTCCATCGGCCATGCCTGAAAGGAGGATGGTGGCAGCCATAGAAACAGGGTTTGTTTCCAGGGGCCTGGTCCCTGCTCACTTATGCCTGACCTCTCAGGAGCCCATGGAGTTGCACCTTCTGCAGGATAGAGTCTTTTGGAAGGCAGCAGTGTCACGGGGAATCTGAGGTCCTGGAGAGGCAGATGCAGCCTGAGGAGCAGTTGGTGAGTTGGGTGCCAACCCCAAGCCTTCTCCTTACCCCAGACATGGGAGAAGTCCAACAGACAAGGTGAAGGAAAGGGTGCCCTGAGGGAGTCTGTTCATCCAAGCCATGTCTCAATCACGCTGAAATCATACAGAACTGGACTGTGGAAAAAATAACTCAGTTATTGCATGTCTGTTTCCAAGAGCCAAACATGTTTGGGGAAACTTCCAGAACACTGGTGTGAGTCATGCCTCTGCCTGGGCTTGTATATGGGCTTAATGTCTCCAAACTGCTTTTTATTCACAGCCTTCTTCTTTTGCAGAAATGTGAGTTCCTCCTCTTGAAGGTCTATTGCCATTCAGAGAGCTCCTTTTTTTCGAAGATTCCATATTATTATTATGTAAGTAACAACAACCAACCATGATTACAGGCCACTGTGATGTTCCCTGCCCTTTACACATGCACCGGAGGGATTTGTGAGCTGAATCCCATGGGATGGAGAGCATGAGCCACCATTAACTGTACCTTGTATCTCTGCTGGATTTGGGAACATTGAACTGTGCCAGTAACTGTCCCCTTGACATTTTTTCTCACCAGATTAGAGAGGTTTCTCAAAACCTAAGGGAACCCATGTGGTTGGACAAAATCAAGAAGAAGCTGAATAAACAGGGTTATCGCCAAGTGGAGGGGTTTGTGCGGGACATGCGCCTCATCTTTCAGAACCACAGGGTATCTTACAAGGTAAGGGGCTTTCCCTGCTTTCATTTCATTTTTTTTCCTTTGAGTCACTCTGCCCTCATATTCTGGTGCCTGGAGAATTTTACATTTCCCTCACCCTACGACAAGCCCACACAAGGAAGGGTTCTGGAAGGGAGTGACTTTTTCAATTCAAAACATAAGCTCACCATGGCAGGGTAAAAGTGAGTTGGAAGCTGTTTCTGCAAACAGAACCCCAGGCCCCTGAAAGCTCATTCCCCTGCTCCAAGGCGACAGGTGCCCATAGAGAACAGTGGAGTCACGCCTGCTCCAAACCCAAGGAAAAATTGCATCTTAAAGTTATGTTGCCCTTCTTATCTCTCCCCAGATAAACTCACTGGAAACTCTTAGAAGCCCCAATTTCAGATTCCTTTGCATGTGAATGGAGTGTGTAGTTTACAGGGGTCACCAGAGAGGACTAGAAGTGGTGGGGAAGGAGATGGGTGATTGTAGTTAGACTGGGCTTTTTGGTGGTTGCAAAGAACATAGATGACTTTTCTAAGTCTCACTAAAATAAACAACCCAAACCAAATAAATCAAAGTCCCAAGTAGGCAGTGATTTCCCATTTCTGTCTACTTAATGAGAAATAACCGTGCGTTTAGGAAAAAACAGTTACTCTTAGCTGCATGAATTTTTAAGCATACCCGGTTAATGTAACTTAGGTGTTTAAGACAAGGTCTTCAACCTTCTTGATTGCAAGATGTCTAATAACACTGACAATGAGGATCATTATTTTTGCCTTATGATTTATTTTTCAGTACAATGACTTTGGCCTAATGGGACTTAGACTGGAGGCAGAATTCGAGAGGAAATTCAAGGAAGTGTTTGCTATTGAAGAAACAAATGAGAGCAGTTCACTGGCATAGTGGGGGCTGTTGGTATCCTGGAAAATTCCCTTTGAGGGCAGAATTTTCATCTGCCAGTTGCTGTGAGGATTGGCTGCTGATGCCACCCCTCCCCAAAGTATCACCTTCTGCCAATGCCGGCTGGAGTTTACACCTATTGGGTCTGGGGGCTGGCCCCCAGCCCCAAGGTGAGATGAATATGTGGTGCGATTCATGCTCCTGCACTCCCCCACGAGATCAAGCTGGAGCTAGTTTCCAGCTGGGACCACATCCATGCTTGGTTTTTTTCCACCACGCGATCCTGCTTCCCTCTCCCTTCTTCTGAAAAAATTCTCATAATAAATCACTTACTTAAGAGACTTTATCTCAGGCTCTGCTTCCAAGGAACCCAACTTTAGGAAACGGTCCCAGCAAACGGGCTTCAAGGATGGGGTTCTGGTGTGGATCACGGCCTAGCCAGATGGTGACAAGCGGAATGTTGATAGTCCCTGGGGTGTTCTAACAGTGCCATTGCCAAAACGTTCACCTGTAGGAAACTGGATGAGCTAAAGGGGAAGAGGCATACCAGCTGATATGATTGCCTAATATTTTACAAAAGGAGAAATAGTAACTCTAAAAACCATGGATTTTGATGGCTATTGCTAAGTGCCACTAATATGCTGAAAAGAGTAAATGACAGTCTGAAATCTGTTAATCACCACCTAAACAAAGAGATCCTCATACCAGCAGCTGGAAAGCAGACAATAAGGAAGGCCTTGCCCGAATTTTAAGAATGGCAGAACTTTGGGCGCCTGGGTGGCTCAGTTGGTTAAGCGACTGCCTTCAGCTCAGGTCATGATCCTGGAGTCCCTGGATCGAGTCCCGCATCGGGCTCCCTGCTCGGCAGGGAGTCTCTGCTTCTCCCTCTGACCCTCCCCCCTCCCTCTCATGTGCTCTCTCTCATTCTCTCTCTCTCAAATAAATAAATAAAATCTTAAAAAAAAAAAAAAAGAATGGCAGAACTTCAGAGAAGACTGAATTCTAAGCTCAGGATGGTCTCTGCTAAAGTTAGGGCACTAATAAAGAAGAGTGAAGCCCTGAACCTGAGAAAGGGACTCTCTAGGAAGATGTACATGAGAACTCTGAACTCCAGATACCCCTGAAGCCACTGGGCCTGCAGAAGAGAACTCCTGCCCCTACTTTGGACACAGACCTTACCACCCCACTTCTTGCCTGAATGAGGACCATGCAGAGTAGCCTCAGCTTGCCCTGACTGGGAATGTCCTGCGTGTGGCTGCTAGGTGAGGAGAGGGTTTCTAGTTTCTAGTCCACTGTAGGACTGGCCAGCGTGTACCAGCAGGTGCCAGGGGATTGTGTCTGGGAGTGGATCCTAAATGAAGAAAGAGGAATATGAAACTGAAAAGAGGAGAACTGTTGATATAGGTGTACTCTCCTGTGCCATAGAACTTCATTAGCCTGGCAAGGGCCAAAGGTGATGGTTCTAATATGCTCCTGGGTGGCTCTTACAGGCTTGCTGTAAGCCAGGGTACACACTAGACAAAGCGGAAGTAGAGATACTGGACCTGTGGGGACAGATTATGAAAAGGGGGAATCTAAAAACCTAGTGAAATTGGTATGGCTCTACTCTGTACCACTGGAAACCCCATCCTTCAGGTGACTGTTCCTCAGGAGGCCTCAGAGACACTAACTTAACAAGGTGATAATGAACTGCTGAGGAGATACCAGTATCCTTGAGATGCTCAGCAGGGGCCATCTTCTGTTGGTTGGAATAATGTAGTTATGTTTTACAGAACTGGATTCCCTAGTAGCAATGGAAATGGTTGAATAACAAAAGCAGGGGGCAGCATTTAACTGTCGGAGCAAGATGATGTAACTTCTGGAATGGACAACAAGGTTAGAATGACAGCCAGGGGGCCTGGTCCACAGATGTCTCTGGAGATAGCTAATAGGACATGGTGTTCTTATAGGCAAGACAGATGGGCAGCCAACAAGGATATTGCTTCATATATACCATCAAAAGCAATTAAAAATAGATGAACAGATAGCTGAGTTCAGCTGCCCCAATGAAAAGTCAAGATCCCTTGCCCAGTTTCCAGACCTGAGTCAATTCTTGGACCCAAAACCTGCTGATGGAAATGAGGATTGCAAATGTACATGTAGTGATTTCTTCAGTTCTTCACCAAAAGGACCAATGGTCTTTTGTTCTAGAACTATATGTCAGAGAATGGAAAATACATAGATCTTTCAAAGATTGTTGAATACAGCATCTGATTTGATGCTACTCTAGGGATGCAAAGCACCAGCATGGTCCTTGGTAGAGTGGAGTATATGGAAGTCAGGTAATATCCATGTCACAATGGGTCCACTCAATCCTTGGAGCCACCCCAGTTCCTGAGTGTATAATCAGGACACACATGAGAGTTGGATGAACTGGTTCTTTAACCTATAAAATACCCTGTGAAATAATAATGACTGTCTTAAGAAAAGCCCAGTGGCAGGCCCTGGAACTGAAATTTCCATGGTGAAATAGTCAAAAGCAATATCATATTCCTGGGCTGGGGAATGACAGAGATTAGTGCCACCTGCAAAGACTTCAAGGCTATAGTGGTCGTATCCTCATTACCCTTCCATTTGGTCTGGCCTCTGCAGAAACTACTTGGTTCGTGGCTCCTAGACATGTAATCAAGGGGCACCTGGGTGGCTCAGTCAGTTAAACGTCTGACTCTTGATTTCGGCTCGGGTCATGATCTCAGGGTTGTGGGATTGAGCCCCGTGTCGGGCTCCGCACTCAGCGTGGAGTCTGCTTAAGATTCTCTCTCCCCCTCCCTCTGCCCCTCCCTTCCTGCTTGCACACGCTCTCTCTCTCTCTAAAAAAAAAAAAGAAAAGAACTGTAATTAAGTTGTAGCACCGATTATAGTTGTTGTGGTATCCTCTTTAGAGCAGAGTGGCATGGCCCACTATGCAACTGTTAATATGGAAAATGTGCTTTTGAAATATCCAGTAGGAAATAGGATAAGAAGTAGTTCATGTTCACAGGGAGTGAACAGCAGTACACATTTAAAGTCTTGACCCAGGACCATATGAATTCTCCTGTTCTCTGTTACAATATAGCCTGAAGGGACCTAGTCTGCCTGGTCACTAAGATACAGTATATCAGTCGGCTATGTCAACGACTGTATTAATCAGGGCTCTCCAGAGAAACAGAATCAATCATTTTGTAAAGAGAACCATATATATATATATATATATGGATTTATTATGTGGAACTGGCTTGTGTAATTATGGATGCAGAGAATCTCCACGATATGCCATCTGCAAGCCAGAGACCCAGTAAAGATGAGGTGTAATTCCTGCCCAAGTCTGAAGGCCTAAGAACCACAGGAACAGATAGTGTAAATCCCTGTCCAAGAGAGTAGAAAATCCAAAAGAGTAAGTAAAGTAAATCCAAGCTCAACTAAGCTGCCAGGCAGAGGATGATTTTTCCCTTTCCCTCTTTTTTGTTCTATCCAAGCCCTTAACAGTGTTGATGGTGCCCACCCACAATGGGGAGGTCAGTCGATTTTATTGAGTCCACTGATTAAAATGCTGATCTCATCCAGAAACATCCTCAATGACATACCCAGAAATAATGTTTAAACAGGGCATCCCATGGTCCAATCAAGTTGACACATAAAATGAACTATCACAATGACAGTATGTTAATTAGGTCTGTGGAGCAGGAAGTGTTGAGTGTTCTGAAAGCCTTGTTGAGTCACACATACTCCCAGTGGTGAGAGATAAGCCCTACTAAGAATTCAGATACATGCCATATAGGTAAGATTTTAGAGGTTCAATGGTGAGAAGCATATCAGGATATCCCCTCCAAAGCTCCAAGCTATTATACCTTGCATCTTCTACCACTAAGAAGCACAATGCTTGATAGTCTTCTCCAGGTAAGGAGAATAACCATGCTTGCCAATTAGATGAAAATTATTCTAGGCTTTGAAATGGGGCATGGTGTGGGGGGGTAGTACCAGCTGGGAGGGGGCAATGGTTATACCATCTTAATAATAAAATGTGTTCTAATCAATATTTTTCACCTAATAGTATATAATGAGTACTGTTACATGTCAGTAAATATGATTCTATATCATCCCTGTCATAACTTTTATTTTTCATTAAGCCTCAATTGCAGTTGGCTCTTATTGATTATTCTTGGTGTTGTGAACGGTGCTAATTTTTTTTTTAAAGATTTTATTTATTCATTTGAGAGAGAGAGAATGAGAGACAGAGAGCATGAGAGGGAGGAGGGTCAGAGGGAGAAGCAGACTCCCCGCCGAGCAGGGAGCCCGATGCGGGACTCGATTCCGGGACTCCAGGATCACGACCTGAGCCGAAGGCAGTCGCTTAACCAACTGAGCCACCCAGGCGCCTGAACGGTGCTAATTTGTAATGAGAGACTGCAGAGCCTAGTGTTTGAGAACACAGACCATGTTCTCCAAGCCAGCATAGGAGGTGGAATCCCAGCTCCTCATTCGCAGCTGTGCATCCCTGGGCGCGTGACTTGCCCCCCCACCCCTTGCACTGATTCCATCTGTAAAATGGAGAAACTAGTACGTAGCTCACTGGATCATGAGGATTAATGAGTTAATATTTGCTGTGCTCTTCGGAAGTGCCTGGTCCTGAAAATAGTAAGTAAATAACTCACAAACATCCTTGTATCAGTTAGGGCTCTTTGCCAGCCAGACTAGCTTTACATAGGTTAAACAAAAAGACACTCTTTGAACAGATGCCCAGTGGCTCGTGAAAGGGAAGGAAGGCTGGGCGCAGAGCCTGCAAATGGCCCCAGAACTGGGCTGGGCAGCAGGGGCCCAGCAGCTCCAGGAATTGAGCTCCAGGAACAACTCTGCCATCTTGTCAAGGAGCCACCACAGAATCAATGTTTTCCATCTTATTTTTTTTATTTTTTTTAAAAAACTCCGTAGCAAACTTCTCTTGCAAGTCCAACTCCCAGAAGCATCTGGCTGGTCTGGCTGGCTCAGGGACCCGGTATTGATCAGCAGTTCCTCTGCTCCTACATGTGAAGTGGAAATGTCGTCTACCCAGAGGAAACTGGGTGCTATTAGGAAAGTGGGGGAAGAGACTGGATGGCCAAGGAGATGAGGTCTGACCCACGGATGCTCTGCGGCAGGCCCTGGTGTCTAAGAGGGTGGGGCAGTGCCTGGCTGGTCAGGGCACCCAAGGTCCCCGAACCAAATGGAGCAGGTTGATTGAGGTCCCACTGTCCTGAGCTGTGGAGAAAAGGCTGAGTTGGTCTTCATGCTTGAAGGGAGGGTGTCTACTCCCCTCTCCTCCAGGACAGCCAAGGGCAACGAAGGGCACTA